ATGGGCTTGGGCATGGGCCAGATTGGAAATTTGTTTCATATGAGATTTCCATTTTCGCGTCTCCTCCCGGTCTCTTACTCTCTCTTTCTTCTGTTTCTACAAATTTTTGTTCTCTAAAAATCAGCAATGTCAAATTTGTCACAGACAGCGATGCGAAATCAAGTGAAGGCGAAAAATTCTAGTACCTTGTTCTTAACTGTTTGAATTGTGTGTCATTTCTTAGAAAGCTGAATATTGTTGAAAAATAGTAATTTGTAATTTTCAAACATGTTAGAAGCTTCTAGAGTTATCTATAGATTTATCTAGAAGTTTGTAAATAAACATGTTGTTTATGCAAGAATTTGCACAACGTTAATCTTGCTCGAACCTGGCCCTTGCTCCGACCCGAAACGCTAAGAGAAGACCTACACAAGAGGGCAGAATCTTCGACGCTCAAGTCAATGAGCAGCTTGGACTCAATATGAGGTTCGAGGAGAAATTTGATACCTGATTGTGAAATGAGGCCCTCTATTTATAGGTTTAGGTTCCGACAGGGGTTGCGACATGCGGTTACCTTGGTCGGATTAGAGGTCGGACGTGTCAGGTTCGAGCAGATCGAACTCGGACACTTTCCTGGAAATACCAAGTCAATCCTTAAATAGGAAGTGGCAGGTGCTCCATCTCGAAAGGTTCCAAGATGGAGCAGTATAAGCTTGTTCCTTTGATTCTTATGTCATCGGCGAATCCCCGTCCTCCACGTGGCGAAGGATATTTCATCCCCAAACATTGGCCCCCTCTTTGTCGGGTTCGATCTCGATCTAGCAGAGAAATTTTTATAATTCTTGGGAAAACCAATCCACGTGGTGACTTCTGAAGCCGACACGATTAATATTACCGTTGGGAAGAATCTCGAAAGCGGAACCGGCGTTCGGCGCGCAATTGAGTACCTATGACGTTCGAACTTCTTCCGATCTGGGTCGTCCGATTTTGGACACGTGTGCGGCTGGGATTAAATCTCGGGATAGTATAAATACCCCTAAATCTTGATCTCCACTTTTTAAGCTTTCTGAAATCTTGGAGTCCGACCTCATCAGATCGGAATCTTTAGGTCAGTCTCGTTCCTTCACTTTTGTTAAGTTCTCTCTTTTTACTTTTGAAGTCAATGTCGATGTCTTCTAGTTTCTCAACTTCAAGTAATAGTAGTTCGTCTGCGAGGCAGCTCGGAATTGGGACCCTTCGCCTGGTAGGGCCGATTCCGTAGATGAGTTTGCTAGTAGGTTAGACTCCGAACTAGAAGAGGAGATAGATAACTTTAGGTTCTCGGAAGACGAGGGAGATGATAGTGACACCTCGACCTCGAGTCTAGGTTTAGAATATCCTTCCCAAATGCCTGAGAACTACCTCGGCCGTCTTCATAGGAGGTATAGTATTCTAGACGACATCCTTCTTAGACTTCCCAAGGAAGGGGAACGAGTTGATAATCTACCTGAAGGGCGCGTGACCCTTTACCTGAAAATGTTTGAGTATGGTTTTCGCCTTCCCGTTCACCCCTTAGTGCAGGAGTTCCTAGTCCGAACTGGATTAATCCCTGCTCAGGTGGCCCCCAATGGATGGGGAGTCATTTTCGGTTTAGCCGTTTTATTCTGGCTTAGATGTAGGGAAGTGGACGATTTGGACCTCCTCGGAGTCGACCAGCTTCTGGCTTGCTTGAGGTTAAGCGAATCTCTAGGAAGCCAGGGAAATATTACCTGTGTGCCAGGAAGGGTGCAAGAGGCATTCTAAAGGGCCCAACCTCCATAAAGAAGTGGGTTGAAAAGTGGTTCTTCGCCTCTAGCGCGTGGCTGGCCAGGAACGAGTCCGACCTACCTTTCTTCAACGTCCTCTATAGGTTTGAGAACTTAGGTAAGGAATAGAGTCTGTACTTGCTTTCAATTATTTTTCTTCATTGTTTAACCCAAAACTTTACCAATTTCAGTCGCTATAAGGCCGATCCCTCAACTTTCTGAGCCGACCTTCAACGTTCTAAAGTTTTTCAAAGGCAGACTCAAGATTGGTAAGCAGATCAACACGTTTATCACAAACAAGCTTCTTCTTTCCTCCAGACTGCTGGACTACAATCCTCTTCTAGCCCTACTCGAAGTTCGGAGACCGAACTTCGAACTAGTTCAGTTGCCTTTGAATGTCTTTGTGCTTGATATCAGACGTTTTTCGTACCTTGTGCTTAACTCACAACTGTTTTTCCTTGCAGCCATGGTTTGTGGCTTCTCCCAGGATGTTCGGCGCAAGCGCCCATGCACTGGGCATGCTTCTAAGAACAAGGAGGCACCTTCCCTACTTTCGCTGACCTTCCCACCGAAGTCGAGGTGGTTGTGGTCGGACATGAAGCCACTTCGACGCGGGAGGCGACTGCGGCCGGCGCCTCTTAGGATCACGAGATCCTTGAAGTTTCTCCCTTTCAGGAGATTTGGAGGAAGGCTTCCCCCAAGAAGTCCAAGAAGAAGAAGCGCAAGACCCACCACTCCTAGGACGAGGTGAGGGAAGTGCGCACTGGACGGCAAGTCAGTCCTTTTAAGGACTTAGTTGACGACCTTGAGGCTAGGATAGGCGGCACCTCTGACATCGAGATGAAGATTAAGGTAGAGCCGTCTAGTGCTGGGTGAAGGAAAAAGCCATGGAGATGTCAGGCTCATGCTTTGACTGCTGTTGGAGGAGGGCTTACAAGTTCGTCAGCGCTCCCGGGTCGGGCATACAATGACTGTTGGACTATACTGCTGAGGTGAGACCTTGCTTACTTTCCTTTGCATTTGTAGACTTATCTTTTATATTAACACTTTGATTCTCTTTGTCCATGCCCATAGGCTCATGCTGCTGCTTGCCAGACATCCATTATGGTGAAGGCCGAGCTGGAGGGGCGTGGCTTTCTTATTGTGAAGGAGCGGGAGGCCTCTTCAGCTGCCTTGGAGGGGGAACTCAAAGAGGCTCGCGTTGAGGCTCAGGCATGGAGATCCACCTCTGAAGCTGACAAGGCCGAGCTCAAAAGTGCCCAAGCAGAAGTTGCTCGACACCTGGAGAATCTGAGGGGCACGCATGCCATGGTCAAGTGCCTTGAGAAGGAGAATTTCGTGCTGATGAAGCAAAATAATGACCTCGAGCACCTCCGAGACGACCTAGAAGGCAAATTAAAGTCGCGATGCCGAGATGGCAGACCTAAAGGCCAAGCTCGAGCTCGAAGAGTCCAAGCTCCGCAATGAGGTTCTTCTGGAGGAAGCGTTTCACAAGCATCCTGACTTCGACGGCTTCGCCAAGGACTTTAGTGATGCTGGCTTTAGATTCCTGATGAAAGGAATCCAAGAAGTGGCGCCCGAGCTCGATCTCGCGCCCATCAAGCTCAGGTATGCGGAGAAGTGGGCGTCGGGTTCCAATGAGACCCCTAGCCCCCAAGTCTTCGGGGAGCAATGTTTGAAGAAGCTCGAGTCAGATGTGTATAAGAGACAGCTCTTCAAGTTTTCTTTTCCTCTTACTTTAAAAGTCATGTCGGTGTCTTCTAGTTTCTCAAGCTCAAGTAATAGTAGTTCGTCTAGCGAGGCAGCTCAGAATCAGGGCCCTTCGCCCGGGAGGGCCGATTCCNCCCCTAGGACTTCGTGGAGCAATGCTTGAAGGAGCTCGAGTCCGATGCCGAGCTCAATGAGGGCGATGACGCGGATCCGTCTTCACAAGAAGTTGGGGGGCTCTCCTCCCAACCGCTGGTGCGAATTCGTCCCAAGAGACTGGGATGATGGATTCCCAGGAGATTGACATCTTTGGGTCCCAAGGCGAGCTTGGATTGTACCTCGGAAGCAACTGAGGCTCCTCCACTCTCTTTTCAACCCTGTTGTTTTTGTCTTGATCTTTTATTTCTTGTATCTGGCCACGAGGCCTATACACCTTAGCCACAACTCCACTTATTAATATCAAGTGACATTTGGAACCACCTTTTGAAACTTGTAAATTCTAAAATTTCGGATTTTCTTTCTTAGTCAACGTCTCACTTCGAACTCGTTAGTTCTTTAGAGATTCAAATTTTCTAAGCCCTAATTCACATCTCACCTCGAACTTGCAAGTTTTAAAGGTTCGAATTTTCCAAATCTTAATTCACATCTTACATTGAACTCGTAAGTTCTAAAGGTTCGAATTTTCCAAATCTTAATTCGCATCTCACCTCAAACTCGTAAGTTCTAAAGGTTCGAATTTTCTAAATCTTAATTCACATCTCACGTCGAACTCGCAAGCTCTAAAGGTTCGAATTTTCCAAATCTTAATTCACATCTCACCTCGAACTCGTAAGTTCTAAAGGTTCGAATTTTCCAAATCTTAATTCACATCTGACTTCAAACTCGTAAGTTCTAAAGGTTCGAATTTTCCAAATCTTAATTCACATCTGGCCCCCATTTAATTTCACATCGAACTCATGCCCTTAGGAGACATGAAATTAAATGACACAAGAGTCTAATACTGATATTATTCCTTGAAAATTTTACAAGTCCAATCCATTTTCGGACCATTTTAACATTTCAAGGGTAATATCTCTTCAAATGCTCTGTGTTCCACGGGTGCGAGAGTAACTTCCCTTCGAGATCGGCAAGCATATATGTCCCAGGTCGGACTATGCCCTTGACTTCAAATAGCCCCTCCCAACTTGGTTCCAACGTCTCAACATGTCTCTGTATTTTGCGAAGGACTAAGTGTCGGACCTGAAAACTCCAAGATCGGACTCTCAAGTTGTAATGCCTTGCCATGCGATTTTGGTACTCTGCCAAACGCAGTTGGGCTGCTTCCCTCTTTTCATCAAGGAGATCGAGGTTAAGGAACATCTTTCCCTCGTTCCTAGCATGCTCGTAGTAGTCTATCCTCTCCATTGGCATTCCTATTTCTACGGGCACCACGACCTTGGAACCAAAGGCCATGGCAAATGGGGTTTCGCCAGTGGACTCCGGCGACGTAGTTCGGTAGAACCAGAGTACCTCAGGTAGCTCCTCGCCCTATCATCCTTTCTTTGCGTCCAGCCTTAATTTAAGGCCGCGCTTAATGATTTTGTTTACCGCCTCCACTTGCCCGTTGACCTTGGGGTGAGCCGGGGATGAGCAGATGTGGCTAATCCCGAGCTTGTGGCAGAAGTGTTTGAACTTGGTGTTGTCAAACTGCTTGCCATTTTCTGTCACAATAGCATTGGGTATGCCGAAACGGTAGACCACGCTCGTCCAAATAAAGGTCGTAAATCTAGCCTCTGTGATTGTCGAGAGTGCTTCGGCCTCGGCCCAGTTGGTGAAGTAATCCACGGCAACGACGACATACTTGGTCTGCCCTTTGTCCAATAGAAAGGGTCCGATAAGGTCAACTCCCCACTGCGCAAAGGGCCATGGTGCTAAGATCGAAGTCAGCAGCTCGGGAGGTTGGTGGATGAAATTCATAAAGCTTTGGCAATTGTCACATGCTTTCACAAATTCTTTCGCGTCTTAATCCACTGTGGGCCAGTAGTAGCCCTGACGAATGGCCTTCGCCGACAATGACCTAGCCTCCGTGTGATTGCCACAAACCCCTTCATGCACTTCCCTGAGGACATAGTTCCCATCTTATTTGGAAATGCATTTAAGGAGGGGTAAGGAAAATCCACGCTGGTACATTGTTCCATCTCGAAGCAAGAACCGAGCTGCTTTCCTTGTCATTTTTTTGGCTTCCCTCAGATCTATCGGGATATTACCTTCTAAGATGTTCCTGATCGAATCCATCCATGATGGAGGCTGGGAGTCGACTTCCATCATATCCGGCTCTAAAATAGAAGGGTTATCCAAGATTTCCACCGAGACCGATCTCGCTAGGTTGGTCTCGTAGGCTGATGCTAACTTAGCAAAAGCATCGACATTAGAGTTTTGTGACCTCAGAATCTGGCTGATTTCGTGAGCTTGAAAATGGGCGAGGTGCAACCTGACTTTTCCCAGGTACTTCTCCATCCGAGGGTCTTTTGTCTGATACTCTTCTTTGATCTGATTCACTATCAGTTGTGAATCGCTGAACATTTCAAGGTGGCTGGCTCCAAGTCCTCTTGCCATGGGCAGTCCGGCCAATAGGACTTTGCACTCGGCCTCATTGTTTGAGGTGCGGAAGTTGAAGCGAAGGGCGTACTCAAAACGCATGCAATCCGGGGCGAGGAGAAGCACACCCGCTCCGCATCCCTTTTCATTTGAAGACCCATCCATGTACATCGTCCATGGCTGGTCGGACGCAGATGTTTGAGACGTTGGGGGAGTGAGTTCGGCTATGAAGTCTGCGACGACCTGCCCCTTCACAACCGTTCGGGGCTCGAACTGAATATCGTACCCACTCAGTTCGAAGGCCCATTTCATCAATCTTCCAGCTGTTTTTGGTTTATGAAAAACTTGCTTCAAATGCAAGTTTGTGAGCACAGTCATTGTGTGGGCTTGGAAGTACGGCCTCAACCTTCGTGCCGAGGTGACCAAGGCGAGAGCCAGCTTCTCCATTTAGGGATACCTTGTCTCGACCTCGGTCGTGACCTTACTTGTATAGTAAACATGATTTTGTCGTATTCCGTCTTGCTTGATTAAGGCCGAGCTGACTGCATTGTCAGATACGGCCAGATATAAATGCAGCTTGTCCCCTGGCATAGGCTTTGGGAGCAATGGTGCCGAGCAGAGGTAGTTTTTGAGTTCTTCAAAGGCTGTTTCACATTCGGCTGTCCACTCAAAAGGTCCCTTCTTTCTTAGGGTTTTGAAGAAAAGGATACACTTATCCATGGACATGGAGACAAACCTATTAAGGGCAGCGATTCTCTCGTTAATGCATTGTAGCTGCTTAAGGGTCCTTGAGGCTTGCATCTCGAGCACGACCCTTATCTTCTCTGGGTTAGCCTCTATGCCGCGATTATTCACCATGAACCCTAGGAACTTGCCAGATGAGACTCCAAAGGCGCACTTGGCAGAATTTAACTTCATTTGGTACTTTCGGAAGACCTCGAAAGTTTCAGTCAGGTCGCCCAGGTGTGACCTGGACTGCTTGCTCTTGACAAGCATGTCGTCCATGTAGACTTCCATATTGCGTCTGATCTTGCTGGCGAACATCTTGTTCACCATCCTTTGATATGTCGCCTCTGCGTTCTTTAGACCGAAGGGCATGACCTTATAGTAGTATAGGCCTTGATTGGTTATGAAAGAGGTGTGGACTTGATCTGGCTCATGCATTTTTATCTGGTTGTATCCAGAGTAAGCATCCATGAAGGTGAACAGCTCTTGCCCGGTCGTAGCGTCCATGAGCTGGTCGATCCTCGACAGTGAGAAACAATCTTTTAGACAAGCTTTGTTGAGATTGGTTAAATCTACGCACATTCCCCACCTTCCGTTAGATTTTTTAACTAAGACTACGTTAGAGAGCCACTCGGGATACAAAATTTATTTTATGTATTCAGCTTTAAAAGTTTGTTTACTTCCTCAACAATTACATCACTCATCTCCCTATTTACAGGTTTTCTTTTTTGCTTGACAGGTCGAAATGATGAGTCGATGTTGAGGCGATGAACCATAATCTTCAAATCTATGCCCAACATATCCTCATGAGACCATGCGAACACGTCCGAGTTCGCCCTGAGGAAGGAGATGAGCTCCTCTCTGTCCGCGGCCCCCAGCTTCGTGCCTATGCTCACTTGCTTTTCTGGGCTGAGCAAAGGGATAAGCTCCAGATCTTCTGTAGGCGTAGCCACCTCTCGCTGGCTAGTCTTGGGCAGCTCGTCCTTGGAAGCTTGAACTGCTGGACTTAGAAGATTTGTCAGTTCTTCGAGGGTGCAAACCGCTGATCCCTTGAGTGTAGAGGTGTAGCAATCGTGGGATGTTTTCTACTCTCCTCGGATCATGCCGACCCCATTGATTGTGGAGTACTTCATGACTTGATACAAAATCGATAGGATGGCATAAAGTGAGTGAATTATTGGTCGTCCGAAGATAGCGTTGTAGGACGACCTTCCGTCTATCACTACGAACTCGGCCATCTGGTGACTTGAGTGTCACCTTGACCGATTGTAATGGGAAGATCAATGCATCCCTCAGGAGTGACAGATTCACCTGCGAATCCAACTAAAGGTGTTGAACTTTTCTTCAACTGCGCCCTGGTCCATCCCAGAGCTAAATAAGTGGTGAGAGATAAGATGTTGGCTGAGGTACCCCTATCGACCAACACCCTTCTGACCTGCACATGGTCGATCAGTGGTGAGATCACCAAGGTGTCATTGTTGGGCAAATGCACCCTCTCAAGATCGGAGTCGGAGAAGGAGATGGGACAGGTGGACTTTTGCTCCTGGATAATACAGATTTCACGTCGAGCCTCCCTGGCAAGCTCCTTCCTCTTATTCCCCGACTGGCCTCCACTAGGGCCACCGACAATAGTGTTGATGACCACAGGCGGTCATCCCTCCAAGGTGGCGTCCTTGAACGCTTCCTTTCTTCTTTCTTCTCTACCGAGCTCGAGCTCGGCTTTCCAACATACTTTTTGAAGTAACCATCTTGAATCAAGTCTTCAATTTCGCGCTTCAACTCCCAGCAACTCGAGGTATCATGGTCGTGGTTGCGGTGGAATCAGCAGTACCTGTCCTTGTTGCGTCTCTCTAGGTCACCTTTGAGCTTTTCGGGCCGCTTGAGGAGCTTCTCGAACCCGTTTTCCTCGATTTTCGTGAGTATTTCGAAGATCGGGATTGATAAGACTTGATTAAAGGCTAAAAAGCGTAGTTTTACATGCTTAGTTGGGAGTTAATTATGATGAAAAATGTATGTTCAAGCATATAATTTAGGGAAAATGTGCATAATTTGTGATTAGAGACTTTGGAGTTCAGTTATAGCTAAATGAAGACTAATTTGTGTAAATATGCTTATTTTGTAAGGAAAAGTGAAGATTGATTATCAAAATGCGTCAGACACATTGCAGGACCAAAATTTCTAGCTTACTAGAGGAATGAGTCAGCCAAGATACTTTGAAAGTTCCAGCTTCACAATGCTTCAGCCACATTCGATGCCTAGATTGTCAAAACGGGAATAACAACTTTTGACCAAGTAATTGGTTCAAGATTTGTTATTAGTTCCTAAAATCTCTACAACCTCATTTGGTTCCAACCTCCCATGCATTTCTCAACATCTTGTTACCTCCATGGCCTATAAAAGGAGCTTTCAAGCATCACTTCAAAGACATCTCATTTTCCATGCTTTTGTTTTCCTTTCTACTTTAGTTTTGTAGTTTTTATTTAAGTTTTGTTTCCAATTATTTTTCTACAATTACTCTTGTTTATTTTATTGCAATTCAATTTGTTCCATTTTGTACTTTCTTTCCAATTCTAATTAAAATGCTTTCTTTTGTTATCTTCTCTTGTGTTTTAATTTCTTTTCAATTCCATGAGTAGGTAAATTGTTTCTTCAACCCCCTACGAGTTTAGTTCATCTATTTAAATTACATCTATCAGTGAGCACGACGTATTACGCTCTCTTTTGCTTATCTTGATTGATCTAATTTATCCAGTTGATTTTCTTGTTGGCCACTTGTTTAAATCACATTAGTTTGAATTTAATTCTGAAAAGGTTAGAGTCAAACAGATCTCATCAAGGTAAAACGGGAAGTTACTTAGAAATAAGAACTAAAACAAGATCCTAGACATAGGCTCTCTTACCCGTTAAACGTAAGTTGGAACTTGATTTATTTAGGATTCTAGAGTTGCATAGACATATGTAAACACTTGCTTAAGCTTCTAAACAAACCAAAAGCGGTATGGAATAGGAGTTGAACCAGTTTGCATAAATTGAGTTTAATTACGGACACATTTGCTAGGTATAATTCATCTTTTAGAACTAAATCTTAGTAGGGTGGTTGGCCTTTTAATTTCTGTGTTTCTAATTCGTGTTCCCAACAATTCCACCAATTTTTATTCCCAAACTCGATTGCTCATTCAAGCAGTTTACAAAATCAATTTTAAAAGAAAACTAGTCCATATGGAGATGAACTCTTTTGTGATATTAAAAGAAAAAGTAGGAATATTTTATAAATACATATTTATTTTGTACCATTAAGTATAATTTTCCTAATTAAAATTTTTAATTCAACAATTGTAAGTGGCAATTAAGAAAGATATTTCAAAATTGATAAATATACTCTATAAACTCGTTGCATTGTGTTTAAATTAAAACATGTATAACATTATATATCATAAATTATATAATATTGTGAAATAATAATTATACGAAATTTATAACATATATGTTAATAAATTAATTAAAAATATTTTAAGTTAGCTAATATTTAATGGGTAAATAGACCATTTTTATTATTTACAAACATATTAATAAATATTTTTTTTATAAAAAAATTGAGGTTTAATTTATAAATCTGTTGCCAAACATATATTATTTTCGAACACATAGAGTAGAATTCTATTTTTCAATAAATTTTATTTTCAGATTTTTCTTTTCAAATCACTAATCCAATGCAGCATGATTTAAATAATAAATCATATACATTATATTTAAATTTTCACATTTTGTTCTCTATTACACTGTTTACTGTTTCAACTTTGATATTATATTAGGTTGTGCAACTGCTTTGGAGAAATCACCCAACTTAAGTTTCCAAGAATTAGTTTTGTTTTGGCTTACATTAATGAAGACTCTTTGATTGCTAAGCTATAATAAAACTATGATATTATATATTAATTTGTTTAGTATAAATATTAGAATTTTGTTTTTGTATATAGTTTGATATATTAATTTTTTCAATAAAATGTATGTTCAATTATAAATATGCAAGAGCAAACCATTTTTTTCCCTTTATAATAGAAATTTTCTGTTGCAACAAAAGAGAGTATCAAATTTAAAGAAGAAACTAGAACGAAAACTTTTTTCCTGCTACAACAAATGTGAAAATAGGGAATTAAACTTCGAACCTCTAGGATCCTATATATTTGTTTTTTTTCCCTTGTGTGAACGATTACTTCATGTAAGAGTAAGAATTCGAACTTCAAATCTTTTAGTTTAGTGATATATGACTTAACCACTCAAGTTGGTCATTACTATATATTTGTTATTATTTCATATTTGCATAAGCTTAATTGATATTTTTTAATTTATTAAAAAATACAGTTAAAATTGTTTAATTTATTTGACAACATGAACATAATTTAGGGATAATGACATTATCTCTTTTCTTGAAGTTAGAGGTTCATATCTTCCTACCCTCGTAAAAAAAATTTAAATTATTTGCTATAAATAAAAAAAGTTTTTGTAAAAAAAATTTAAAATATAGATATTATAAATATAAAGTAAACACTCTGTCAAGAGCACAAAGGAATGTAGATCAAAGTTCGAACAACAAGCTATTGTACTATAGGAAAAATTCATATACTATGGGAGTATCGTACTTTTTTTTGTTCACATCATGATTTTGCATTTATAAATAATTTTTAATGTTGGTGGCCCCACATGATTTTGTAATAGGATGC